AAGATTATCTTGAGTATCCAGCTGTTACTGGGTGCGGGCAGTGCCTAAATTCTAAGAGGACTATCTGAATAACAGCAGGATTTGGTGTCCCGAAGCCCAGGCCTTGTACTGCAGAATCGCAGTGCTCGTCATGAAGCCTGCCTCCACAGCCTGGCTATACCTGAAACAAGTTGGGGGGCTTAGGGTTTAGGGTTTAGGGTTTAGGTGGTAGTCCGACATACACCATAATGTACTCAAATCCTTATCACAGGGACCCGCAAGGGGGGCCCCAAATGCTGGCAAGCCCCAATTTCTGAAGAAGGTTCTGACGGCCAGGAGCCTACCTTTGCATGCCAACCTTTCCGGGTTCAGGGTTTGGGGGTTAGTGTGCCCCAACGCGCTTGTGTCTCTCTAGGGTCACGGATATCGGCGCATGAAACTGGATAGGGGAAGACCCGAAAACCAGGTAATGTCCCGTGCCCTCTCATAGCCACCCGGCGCATATCATCCCAGTTTCCATTTCATGTACCATGTTGTTTTCCTTTTGGTTTCTGTCAAGTATTGCTAGCCAAATACCTATCTTTCTCAAAATCCGCTGCGATAATCCTTCTCAAGTTCTCAAACCCTAAGCACCTGAACCCCTAAACCCTTAAACCCCCAAACAACCTAAACTCCTCAGCCAACCTGTCCCCTAAAAAAAGAACAACCCAACTCCTAAACTCAAAACAAAATAAAACCTTAAACCTTGTATAACCCCTTTGCGCCTTTTAAAGGGACCCTTTTGAAACTGGGAAAATCCCCAAATCCTAAACTCTGAACCCTAAAATCCTAAATTCCCAAATCCAGCCTCTAAACCCTTAAGCCCCTAAACCCCAAACCCTTAAATCCCTAGCCTAAACCCTTAAAAGCGCTAAACCCCTAAAACCCTAAATTCTAAATCCCTTAAACCCTAACCCCTAAACCCCTAAACCCTAAATCCCAGCGCCCTAAACCCCTAAAGCCCTAACATTGAACCCTAACTAAACCCTAAACCCCTAAACCCCTAAACCCCCTAAACCCCTAAACCCTATTTTAGTCGTTCCCGTTTTCTTTCCCATTATTCCCCATAGACCCCTATAAAACCCTAAACCCTAAACACAGAAAAAGAAACTAAACCCCTAAACCCCAGGCTGGGCTTTGGTCATCCCTTGGTTCGAGGTGGCCATGAAGTATCCGCAGTGGTATGCCTTCTGGCTGAGTGTAGGGATTTAGGGATTTTGGGGTCTAGGATTTAGGGTTAAGGGTGTAGGACGTAGGGTTGTTCTGGCTGAGTTTAGGGATTTGCGGGTTTAGGGTTTAGAGTTTTTAGGGCTTAGGGTGTAGGCTTTAGGGTTGAGGGTTTAGGTGTAGGTGGTATAGGGTATGCCTTCTGGATATGCTTTCTGGCAAATTACGGGGTCTTTTTAAAGGGGTCATAGGGGTTATACATATACATATATATATATATCGGATTCAAGATTTAGATTTGCTGTCGGTGTATGCCCTTCTGGCTGGGTTTAGGGTTTAAGGCCTAGGGTATGTAGCCTAAATCCTAAACCCCCAAACCCTAAACCCCTAAACCCCTAAACCTTAAACCCATAAACCCTAAGCCCCTTACAAATCCCAAAGTCGCCGTTGTAATTGATGGATTTTGGGGTAAGGCCTTTGGATTTAGGGCTTAGGGTTCAGGATTTAGGGTTTAGGATTCAGAGCTTAGGATTTAGGGTTACGGGTTCAGGGTTTACAGAAGTTGGTGAAGGATTTGCTTCATCAGCAATTTCCGCTTCCATGTCCTCCTCAGTCGCCTGGGAAAGTTTCGGAATTCCACGCGCTCCTTTGGGGAGCCCCGTGCTATCCCCTGAGGAGACTGGATCCTCAAGGTCCTTTAGGGTACCACTACCAAGTGGTGACGACCTGAAACCTAAGCCCTAAGCCATAAGAAGTAGTCTCCATGTTCTTTGCCCTATATACCCCTGTGATAATCCCTCTTCTGGGGTAATTTTACCCAGGCCCTTACCTCTGAACCAAACCGTCAGCCCAAGACCTTAAACACCTAACCCTAGGTGTTCTTGCTGCACTTTGGTGTTCCTGGCAACATGGCAGTGAGACTGGGATGCTATTCTTCCATTGGGGTTACATAGGGGTAATTCGAGGGATAATGGAAAGGAACGTGGAAACAACTTGGTTCTAGGGTTTAGGGGAGCCACACTGCCAAAAGGGATAGTCTCCCCAGTAATGGAGAGTCAACTGGGAAAGGAAGTGGAAGATTACTGGCACCATCTGGGTTTTCTACAGCAACATACGGCCAAGGGGTTCAAGAAGGGTTAAAGAACAGGTAGACTTTTGGGAGGTAGCCTGGATTCGGCTACAGTTCCATAGTGTCAGAAAGTGGTGAATTTTTAATATTTCGACAGTAAACACTACACCCTAAAGCGCGTGGCCCTTGTGGCATGGCAAGAGGAATGGTGGCCCCCCCCTAAAAGCACAAACCGCATAGACGGGATCCAATCGAAAGCCTAAACTCTTAACCTCTGAGCCTGATTTTGCAAGCCCTAAATGGTAGCTTCCCAAAATTAGGGTACCCCAACATAGACCCCAATATCTTAAATAAGTAAAAGGACACCCAAAATGGTACCCCTAATTTTGGGAAACCCCAAATGTCAATCTGTACCTCCAAATCCCTAAGCTCTAAACCCTAAACCCTCTGTAACTTCAAATCCCTAAGCTCCTAATCACCCAATTTCTGGTGTGGGTCTAGGGCTTAGGGTTTAGGATTTAGGGTTTAGGGTCCAAACTCCTTAAAGGGGGGTTATATAGCGGATTATATAGGGCTTAGGATTGAGGGTCTGAACTCCTTAAAGGGGTAATACTCGGGGATTATATAGGGGGTACTGCTGGGGGGTTTAGATTATAGCTCATGTGAAACGGCCCCGACCACACCCCCAAAAATCAAATGCGTCCCCCCACAATTTTTCGTTCCAAATAGCCGAAGCAGGGTCGGGTCCCTAAACAAAAAGGCTCTCATAGCGACCCCAAAAAGGCCACCTCAAGAATAGAACCGGAATGCTCCTGCCCGATTTGGAGTTTAGCATTTAGGGGTTGGGAATATACCTACTAGGGTCCTTATATGCCTCGAAACCTTAGGGGGTTGCCTGTTTGGGTCCCTGTAACCTGGCCCTTTGAATCAGGATGTCTACAGCCTGTGTCTCTGTCAGCATTGAAGATCTTTTATCCCTTGAAGGTTTAGGGTGTAGGGCTGGTTTAGGGTTGAGACGTATGGTTTTATTAGTTACTGAAGTCAGATTGCAAGGTTCAGAAAGCGTGGACACAGCAAGCCTGCAGCAAAAGGGTTTTGACATTTTGTTGGATGATTTCTTTAATCTCTTTCGCTCTCCCTCTCTCCCTTTCTCCCTCTCCCTCTCTCTTTCTCTCTCTCCCTCTCTCTCTCGCCCTCTCTCTCTCTCCCTCTCTCATTCTCTCTCTCTCTCTCTCTCTCCCTGTCCCTCTCCTGCAGCGCCCCACTCGTTTCTCCCCCAACTCTGTGACTTCACTGGACAGCCAAGGAACGCCAACCGCCTGTTCGATTCGCAGAACAACGCAGCTTCAGGTTCACACCACAAAAGGGCTTCGGGGCCTATACAGTGCCGAAGGCTTTGAGTTTAGGTCACTTTGACGATCTTTGAGGATTTAGAGTTAGCGGTTTCCAGTATGTTTGACGCAGGGAATGTTGGGTGTGGACATCGGATTCCTTGTGGCCCCTATCCGTAGCATGTGGCTCAACGACAAACCTCTGCGAGAAGTACTGTCAACATTCTTTAGACACCTGAGTTGTCGGCTTTCGGGGTTCATGATTCTTGGACATTACGACAGACAAAAATCTCCGTGGCTAGCAACCACATTTTGGGCGTGGACTTTGGTTCCCTGAAGCGTGTGACTTCAGACCCTTGTTTTGGCAGGGTATTGGCTGCATGCACAGTGCGCATTGTGGGCCCCAGCCAGGGATTCTGTCCGACCTGGTACCCGCCATCGTAGAATCTTAGAACACACCCAGACAGCACACTTGTGGAGTTTACTCGTGACACGAGAGGCTTGAGAATTCATGTGTTCAGGGTTTCGTGCTACTTGAGGGTTTACAGCATTAGATACAAGAAGGCAACTGGCCATATGGTTGGTGACTGGGTATTGTTTATTGTGATTTATTGTACCAGCCACAGCTGAAAATGTAGAGATAGAGGCACAAGGTTTTAGCCGGGTCTTGGTACAGCGGGACACATGCAGTCAGGGCTTGGAGCATTTCTCGAGTGTCAGGGTTGTTGAGGGCTTGCGACTTGCAGTTTTGATGCGCATCTACTTATTAGGATGGTTCGAGAGACACTTTGGGATCAGCATAGGACTTCATGGCTTGTTCCCGTACAAATATGCGACCAAAAGGGGCGCGCAGGAATTTGTTTAAGGGTTTGCTCGTTCGCGGGCTTGCAGCAGGCTAAGTGTGCTGCTGTGGTACGTACCCTCCACTGAGCAGGGAGTCACATCCGTGCAGCCGACAAAGCCAGGTGTTTGGACAATGGGCAGGTGACATTTGCTTAGATTTGGCAAGTTTGCACAGACAATGGCACATCACTCCAGGGCATGCAGGGCTCAGTGGCAAGATTCATGGCAACGAAGACACTGTCCCTTGAGTGTGATGTATGAGTCGACTTCTGTAGGTATGGTGAAAAAGGCAAGGGAGCCATCATGTTGACAAAGCCCAAATCTTTGCAAGCTTCTCGGGAGTGCACTTGTCAGGAAGTCCACCAAGCTCCTGTCCTTACTGCAATATCAGGAAATCAGCATGCTCAGGTGGTTTCATTTTTTGGTAGCCCGGCTCGCAAACTGAAAACCACACTGCTTAGGTTTGAGAATTTTTGAGGGTTCAGGATTTCGAGAAAGGTAGGAGCTACCCTGGTTACCCTTGCCTGCATCCCTGAAAGTACATGCTCGCCGGCTCAGACTGTCACATGCAGGCTATCAGATTGGAGACGACTGCAAGCCTGCGTGCAAGGATGAGAACAACAACTATGATGTCACCAAAGAAGGCTGGGCTATGGATTGGTTTCTGGACTTGGGGTCGGTTCCTTGATCGTTTCTTGGCTCTTGGCCAGCATTCATGTCTTCTCGTTGCGATTGTAGGGCCGCAAAACGCTTCGAGCAATCGCATCATTTTTTAAATGACATGCATCATAGCTGTAGTGCGCGAAACTCTGCGCGTTGTCTCGGGCATTGCCCACGAACGTGCGTTGGAAGCTCTGAGCCTTTTAGAGACATTTGTTTCATGCAGCATGGACTCGGGAATCTCCAGGGAAGAGACCTGGTACTTTAAGGTGTATTCTGAAAAACCAAGAACCTGTTTGTTGTTGGCGTCTCTTGCGGCACTTAGCTGGTATTTAGGATGAAAAGATCGGACTCCAGGTCCGGAAAGTGTATAGCATGGTTACATCTTGTTAGACCATCAAGTCAAAAGCAGGGACAGGATCGTGGACATACACAGAATCGGAACAGCATGTAACCTTACCCGGGTGAGCTCCAAGGACCTAGGAATTCCAGGGCCTGCTTTTGGAAAAGCCCTGAGGCCTGGACAGTTGTGAACGTGAGGTGATTCAGTTTTTGAACAAACGGAGCTTTTTCGCAAGCCTGGACGGTACAACAATGTGTCTCCGCTTTGTTTTGGGACAGTTGTTCCACCATGATGTAGGTTTCGCAGTTAGTATTGCAGCCCCACTCATTCTGGCTACTTGCCTTCCAACAACCTTCACGCTTTGGCAGCTAAGATCAAACCACATGCAGTTCAGCAGGTTCAATTTGTGCAGGATTCGGCATAACCCACCAAACAGTTCGCAAGTTGGTTTACCTTACCCCTCAAGCCCAACAAACGACGCGATCACCAGGCGCCACCCTGGGAACTATGTCGCTAGGCTTCAATGGCACTCAGGGCCTGGAGTATATGGAACCTGCAACGTGCACAATAAAGACACAGTACAGCCAATAATCATCCATGGAACACACCTGCATGCTTTGCATAGAATGGGGTGGCCATGTGCTAATGCAATCAATGGCGTAGGTTAGGAAAACTTCCTCCAGGATGCTTGCTTCAGAAATCCGTCTAGTTCAGTTACAGTATGACGATGCATGAGGGCATGTAAGCTATGCTACACTGCACCCTCCAACCGGATCCACTCCCCACCCGAAATCCCGTACCTGAAATCCTACTCCCGCCTGCGGCGCCCGTGATTTGAGAGCAGGCCATCTGAGCTAACAAAAACAGTGGGTGCGCCTAAGAACAGAGTAGGGTGTCAGTCTCCAGGGTCCAGGTCTAGGGTTTCATCTTGTCATTCTTGCGGGGATTGTGTTCTTGGCCACGTAGGTTGTGGTCCAGAACCTCAGCTTGGGCGATTGACTTCAGGTTGGCTTGGTCCAAGTGTTTAAGACTGTTCATTGTGAGGGCTTTTGGATCTGCATTCGGATAACATACGTTACGTCTGTGGACCTTTCACAGCATCTGCAAGTTCAATTAAACTTTTATGTTTTTTTTTGGGGTGCTGATTTGATAGCCAGATTAGCCTTTCAGGTAATTGTACGGGAGTGGACTGTACCATGGGCCTTGCCCGTTCCCGTCCATTACCACGAATGGAAGCGCCCAATGCTCGGGTGAGGTGGGAGCTGGGCTTGTTGTAAGAGGATGTTTTGTTGGCAGAACGGGGCCTTAGGCATGGTGTGATGCAAATTGAGAAGCTCTGCGTGCCTGTTCACCAGAGCCAAAGCGAATTCTTTGCCGACTCCCTGCATGTCCAAGATTTATTGGCAGAACCTGAATGGAGCAGCCTCACATGCAGAGAGGTCTGCTAGATGTTGGTCGGTAGACTAGTAGAGATGGGCCGAGATCTCAGGAATTGCTGGGAGGCTGCTGACAAGGAAGCACAGAAAGAGAATTGCCAATGGAAAGGAGAGAGCGAAAACCCCGATTCCTGCATGCGAGCATGGGAAGCGTCCAAAGCAGTGGAGAAAATGAGAAATTAGAAAACACCTCAGGCGCGCACGAAGCCATAGAAAGACTTTACGTCAAGAGAGGACTCGAGGCGCGGCAGAGACCTCAAAAGGTCTGAAGCAGAGGGAAATTTGGCTTCGGGCTCACAATTCTGAGATTGACCTGTTTCTCAATGGGCCCCAAGATCAAATACTTCAAAAAACAATGCTGAATTGCCAAGATGGAGGGCAACATCAAGCCTTAATCTTCCACATGTGCCGCGAAGAATGATGCACACTTCTGACGCAAAGCCTATTAAAAGTCCCAAGCTCACGAACCTCTTGAGACCCACATCGTTCTGCCTTCAGCTTTTCCGGACCTAGTCCCAAGCGAGAGCCTTGGTGCTGAATCTTCCGATTTTGTTCAGCATGGTTTGCTGTTTCCTTTCCGGGAGGTGAGCAGGATTGAGCGTCTCAGCAGCTCTTCGAACGGATGCTGAAGCCTCCAACATCTTGCCTCTGCCGCAACTAAGCCAAACCCCACCTAGACCTTAATTCAGTGCCCGGAAACAGAAAGTGCTTGATTCAAAAGATCTGATGCTGAGGAAGTTCTACCAGGGATCCGAGCTCTACATCGAGTGGCACAATCAGCAGCTTTGCATGGTGTAAGCTTCGTATTGGTAACTTTACGAGGGATCTTTCGGCAATCGTTGCGCGAATGTCTCAGTTCCTTCTGCGCGCCTGCTTCGCACGTGGGTACAGGCATGTTCTGCAACATTGAAACCTCCAACCTTAGATACTTGGACCTCAGCCTACACAGATTGGTTCAACTCTGCGAGTTTAAATCTGGAAAGTTTAGCATGATTTGTATGGATGCTGAGGGTTTGAAGGTCCTCTGGTTTGGAGCGTACTGCCTGATGGGCTTGACGAGCACGTTCGAGATGTTTTGACATGTTGTGTACTTTGTCTGCCTGTCAGTTCTTTTGGCTTGCTTACTGAGGGCCTTCAATGTATCCTATGAAGTTTTTGCTGAAACAATTACCTACCTTGCAAGCATAAGCTGAAATGCCATTTTATTTTCATGAGGATATTGCTTGCTTGCAAGCCTGTGCTGGAATGTTATTTTGTTTTGATGAGTAGAATACTGCTGCGTGGTAATACTTAGAGTTGCTACGAGACAATGCTTTGTAAGGAGCAGATGCATAGGCCCACAGCGCCCTCCCAATGTGGCTACGGATCTAAGAATTCGGAGTTTGTGGCATACGGACTTGTCTTATGTATGTTATGCAATCTCGAAGCTTTGTTCGCGCTCGTCCATGTTCCTGGAAAAAACAGAAGAATTCCTCACACCGCTCATTTTGCAAGCCCGCCCTTGCAAAGCTAGTTCTCAAGCCGTTCACCCTAAGCGCGCAAGTCTTCGCTCCCAGAACGCAGAACATGTGAACTGTTGTTCAGCCAAACTTCCACTGAATGTCCTAAGGTGAATTCAACATAAAGCCCCGAGGCCAAGCTCACTTCTGTGGCATCTGTACGTATGCGCCCGCCGTTCGTGATTCGTCAGCCTGACCCAAGCCCCAAGCCCCCAACATCATCCTTCACATCAAGCATAGTTTTCTTGTGGATGAGTCCATCCTCCAAGATGTCTTGCATTTGTTGTTTGCAGCCCGGCAAGAGCAAAGGCGTCACTGTAAAGGTCCGACAAGGTATCGGAGGTGATAGTAACGTTCTGGAGCCAAACGATGTATTCATATGGGACAAAAAACGGACCCCCCTCATCTTCCAGCATGGACTATAATCCTGATTTTTATGAGTGAACTGCAGCTCTGAATCTGATGCCCCTGGCCTTAGAACCTGAAGCCCAATCCCCAGAACATGGTCTTGACAAAGGCATGGCTGCGGGGTTGGACATCCCAATCTTCATTGCCAGCGCCCAGGTTGCACTTCAGTGTACGGAGGGAGCTTGAATCTGAATCGAATCCTACCATTGCTTCTATCATCCACCTATTCCAGCTCGTGATGGCCCTATCATCGGATTTGATTGTTGGGTCTGGGGTTCGGGGTCGAGCTTGCGGAATCTGGGTGCGCAGCTCAGGCTTGAACATGTATACTTGAAGCTTAGGGTCTCTCCCTGTCCCATCTTCAGTCTGCATTGGACATTGCCTGCATGGGGGGCGGAACTTTAAGGGTCTGACCTGCTTTGTGGTCTGAATGGCATAGATTCTGCATGGCGTTCTTCGGAAACGAAGTTTCGTTGCGGAGGTTGCACGTATCGAGGGCCTTGTTTAAACCTCCAGGCGGAGAGTGCAGCTTACAGGTTTTTGAGGGGAGGCATCCTCGAGCAGCAAGCCCAACAAAGCATAGAGAGCGTCCTAGAAAAACATGTTGGTACCAAGTGGGAAAGACCACAGGCTTTAGAATTTGCGGCAGCGCAGGGTCCAATCAGAGCCTAAACCTGAATGCCCTAACACGCAATCTCCAAACCCTAGGTCTTGATAGGTTGGCTGTCCGTGTGCATTGAGCAGCCAAGCATATTCTCAAGCTCCGAGAACTGCTCTGAGCGCTCTTGGGAAATTGGAAATTGATCCTCAAATGCCGCATTGCTTTCCACGTGCAAGTGGTAAACGCGGGGATCTGTTTCTGAGGTTGCTATAGTCCCATTTCTTGCTAGATCGAGCATTCAATGATCAAGAAATGCCGTTCTGCAGTAATGTTTACGCAAAGACAATGTTTTACGTGAAGATAGCGTATAGCATACCTCAAGCGCTACTCATCATTTAGGCTCCTACAACACCTGTCGTTGTCGCAGCTGCACCAATGACGATAGCAGTAGAACCGCAATTGCTCCTCCTCCTCCTCCCCCTCCTCCTGCTTTTGAAGCTCCATGTAGCAGAGGATCATCCTCCAGTACATGAGTGACAGCGACAACGCAAACTTGAGGGACGGCACTGACCAGGAGCTGAATTACAATTAAGGAGTTAGGGCGTAAGATGGCTCAGGATGTAGGATTCAGGGTTGAGAGTTCAGGAGCTTCGGACTTAGACTTCACAACTTCAGGCTCAGGGTGTGCGTGTTCCTCAACAAGAGGGAACAGCTTCAAAGCTTGAAAGGCATATGCTAAATGAATGGAGGTCATATGGATGTGAGTCAAAGACACTGGGTTTGTTACATGTCTGGGCGGCCGTTCCGCGACATAATAGGCTTGTAACAGAATCTCCTGGCTTGCGACAATCGCCTTTGCGACAAGGTTCTCTTGTGGGGTATACCTACAGCAGGCATTTGCGACAAAGGTTTGTAACAACAGGCTGCGACAAAGGGGTATGCAACACGGGGCAACAAGACGGGATGTTTGATCCATGGCCGTGTATATGGGTTGTGGGTTGGCTATAATGAGCAGGGACCAAAAACACCGCTGCTAAAGGTGGTTATTCAATAAGCAAAGCACGTCAAAACCACTGCAAACCGACTCGGGGCACCTTACAAAAAGAGGATACCTTAGAACAATACACCTGATACCTGCAAAACGATACCGGCCACCCTGCGTGATTCCACCACTAGCACAAACAAATTCATTGACGCCAGCTCATGTACTTACTACTATCTTTTTGGGGGTGCCTGTTTCTAGCGACTGGGTTCCTTTTACTCATGTCACTCCACCTCATCAATGGGAGCCACTGCAGGTAGACCATACGCAGGCTTCATGTAGGTTTCTCATGGCGAGGTCTGCGCACGCATTTTTTCTTGTGCATCGTGTCGTCTTGAAGACAACAGGCCTAATTCCTCACTATTTCTTCTTGTTCAGAAGGCCCAAATCCTAAACCGTAAGCCTCAACCTCAAAAGCCCTCTGGGGCTTGAGAATTTCAGCTATGCGTGTTGCTTGTCACACAACCTGCCAAGTTTTAAATATTTTGCGTAATCATCCAATCCTACATATGTTAAGGGTCCGAGTACCCCAAATAGTATGCAGAAACGCCTTGGGCGCAAGTTACATCCTACTTAGGTATTTGGCCCTTTAGGGGCAGATTGGCTCACCACACCCCCATGACAAAGTTGAATCCGATGCCTTGAACTCTTTCTTGCCCTCCAGCTTGCCCAACTCCACAGGACTCTGCTGGTGGGGACGACAACGATCCCACAGAGGAGGCTAAAATGCTGGAATTGCTTAAGAGTTACTGCCTTTGGCGCCAGAGGATTCTGTTATTTATTGCGTTGTGGCCTACACAGGTTTGGGATAAGGTTTAGGATGAGGGGTTGCAGCGTTGGTTGAAAGGTTCAGGGCAAAATCACATCCTAAGGCAAAGCTGCCTTAGAACAAGCGCCCCTAAATATTGGGCTAGAAGAAGGAGATCGGCCTTTACTACCATGTCCGGAGCAGGCATTAGTATACCTACTTTTTCAATAACTGTGCGCTTGCCTGCCTGCAGGGTTGAACTTCTTGTTTCTAGGGGATCGGTTGGCACTCTTGGGAGGGCTTGGAGTAGTTCGAGGCTGAGCTCGTGGGGTTCGGAACGGCTCTGAATTCTCAACGCAGGAGCCTAGGCCTACAAGACGGGTCCAAATTAGCATCCTCAACGAAGCACTCCCATGCGCCTATGAGTTCATGGCTACCCTTGGCCTGAGGGATTGTTTCATTTAAAAGCCCGCTACTTCGGGCGCTGCGGATATGGGCTCTGAAAGACATCAGCCCCTTGCATGGAATTGGAGTGGCAAGCGTTGGTTTCCGTGTGCGGCTTCAAATGCAGAAGCCTGAAATGTGAGCAAGGGTGTCCCGTTCTAATCCAACATCCCGATTACAAGGCCGCTACATTACTCAGGTGTCAGTGAAGGATACCTCAAGGTTGCTTGGGGTTTTCTTCAAGCCCAAACCCCTCGGTAGTCCAAGGCCGTAGGAGGACTGAGGAACCAGGCTTTCGGGCTTGCAGGGGGTAATGCTGAGACTCACAGCCTGCACTGCTTAGTGCTTAGGGAACTTGAGGGCGACAAGGAAAGCTTAGTTGGGACCGTCGCAATCTTCTCAGGGCAGTCAGCATCAGGTTGAGACTGTCAAAGGATGTCTGTAGACAGGGTTTGCTCCAAGAAAACGGTGAGAAGGATCACTTGAAACATGCTTAACACTGATCGCTCCATAGTCCTGCCTCCCAACCAACATGCAACCGTGTGTCAGTCCTGTGTGATGGGGCAGAAGTCTCTGCATGGCCCTTTTATGAGTCTCTGGTTTGAGACTGGTACTCCATGCAGATAATTTCTTCCCCGCCAAGCCAAGCCATTGTTACGACACCTACCTAACAGGTTCTTTACCTAAGGCTTTGCCATTCTTGTTTTCTAAGGAATGCGACATGAATCACAAAGGTTTCTCCAGCCAGGTTTCTCCAGCCAGGGGTGTGGCTTGGGAGGGCAGAGTCCAGGGCTTGTGCTGCGCAACCTCTCTCCAGGCTCAGCACGCTTGAAAAACATTTTTGTTGATGCTCAACTCTTTTTGTGGGATTCCCGGATTTTGTTGGCACCCACAATACTAGAGCAACCAAGATATTTCGCTGAAGCTGAGATATGTTGTCAAATCGCGTGGGCACCAAAACACCAGAGTGCGGTCAGAGCCAAGTCCCGCCAGGTTACATCATTCTCGCACGGTTGCACGAGATTCTTTTGCTTTGCTCTCAATCTGAAGTTTACCTGGCAATTTTTAGGCAAACTTGACTGGCCGCCTTGTTCCACAAGCTGCCACACAATAGGGCAGGGTGCTTTGTTTGCGTCCAAAAAGATAATGCGTGTCCTGCTCATTGTAAGATTGTTAATGTTGGATGATGTTAGCAAGTGCCACACAGTTTGTTCTGAAGTCGCTGGATTTCTGCAAAGGGCCAGGGGCTGTATGTGGTCACGCATGAAGCATGACAATAGCGAGTGACCCCCCTGCACACGATCCTTTTTGGCTCGGCCGGTTACTCAGAAATTCCAACTTTCATCCTTTGCGACGTGGTGCTAGGTAGGAGGGTCGGAGTGGTGTGTGCAGAGTCACAATAGAGGTCGTGGCGAGCCTTTTATTTTTTTGTTGCAAATGGTTCTTGACACCCGTCCCTGGGATACTGATTGGATTTTCAGTGAATCTGCGGCGCTGGGCCATGTCAAGCCACATTGCCTTGCGACAAGGGGGTATTTGTTCCCACTCGCATGTCCTTATCAACAGAGGGTCCAGCAAAGCGGTGCCGGACTTCATTGTTTTCCCATGGCAGCGCATCTTTCCAAGCTAGTTAAACGCAAATCAAGTGCAAGTGCGTCATTGCCGGGCTCCGCCACCTCAAATGCTCTGCTGCTGTTGCTGCTGCTGCTGCCGTTGCCAACAACTGATTGGGCATGTGCAGAATAGTCCGTGTAGGAAGCATACACGTTTGGTATATGTGATACCATTCCGCCTGGAAAGCGAATTTCAAAGTCCAACAACGTGATCTCCATTGTTCACATTAAAGTCAGGAAGGTTTATCTGAAAATCCGTATGTAGAAGCGAGCGTTGAATGTCCATTTGCGGGTTTCCGAGCGATACTGATATGCAGAGAATTCTGCCGGTCAAGCCAGCCCCAAGAAGTGCATTAATATGTTGTGCTATACCTGTCATGCTCCTCCAAGCACAAGGTCCAAAGTTTGGGGCTTCATTGAGCGGACCCAACTGTATTTCAGTTTCTAAATCGAGAACAACTTTTGCCCTCTTGGGATGTTCTTTGCCAGGCAACTGCCGAGGTCGCAAGAGGACGAACACCACCTGATCCCAGATGTTGCATAGGGGGTCAGCTTTGGTCAAAATATCATCAAGTCAATAGTAGTCAGCAATGAGCTTTCAAGTTTGTATCAACGTTTGTAGCTTGCGCCACTGTATTTCCAGAACTTGCAATACTCACCGCCGAGCATTCAGCCAGCTAGCATGCTGGATCCGTTTGAGTTCAGGTCCGTACCGGCACATCCTACCTTGACGATTAAGAAGTCGAAGCAAATTAAGGTGCCTTCGCGGGCTTGAAATTTCGAATGTTTTGTCTCAGCCCTGTATGCTTCTGGTCTCATAAGGGTGCAGGCCATGTTCAGAGAAAGTTGCGGGGACCAGGGTGATTCAAGGGTCGGAAACCCTGCAAAACGGTGAGTTTGTTTGGCTGTTGTCAGCCACATTCCAGTTGAAGCACATGCAAGCAGGATACCACGAGCCGTTTGACTACTACCAGGCGCCTCTGCTGCTCATTGTGTTTGCCCCGAGCTATTAGGCTGTGAAAATTCAAGCGTGCGCACGATAGCGATGCTTCATGCCTCTTCAGTTCTCAGCCGTCGTACTGAGCTGATGGGGCAGCACGCAGTGGATGTCAGGATTTTGAAGGGCTCGGGGGATCGGCAGTGTGCGGCTGTCAAACAAGAGGCTGCATCCGGGATACTGTTACACAATTGCGCAGCCTCACGCGCCCACCCGCCAAGGATAGCCCAAGCCAAATTAACATTGTAGGCCAGTATGACATTATGACGGCCCTACATTCCAATTCATGACCCTACGTCTGCAACCCGGAGGCCTTGAACCGGAGGCCTTAGGGGTAATCACAAGTTGGTACAAATGGGTTGCATTGAGAGTAGAATTGATTTGGATCTATATTCAGGGTCATACGGTCATACGGAGGTAGAGGGGGTCATGGGTAGTCATCCATTTTCTAGCAACTTTTCATGTAGGCTCCGCCCTGGAGCAGCACTGCAGTGTCTTCGTCTACGAGGTACCACGAGTGTCTGCACACGCTTATACCCCACGCTGGCACAGGCGTGCATCGCGCGTGAACGGAACAAGGGCCTCTACACGGCAGATCAGCAGATTGAAGAGAATGGTGAGAGCCCAAGAGAGCAGCTTTATTGCTTAGACGTTGCGAACCCTCAGGATAAGGCCGTAGCCCTGGGGCCCAAGAATCCCCTCTTCGTCGCAAATAGCCCTAGCTTTCTGCGGCACCTGATTTTAGAAACCTCCATGCCAGGGCTACAGCATCGGCAAACGGGAGTGCACTCCTCATTCTGTGGATCCCAGGAATGAAGTTACTGAACCAGTGCCTTGATTTTTACCACCACAACCGGCTGCTCACAAGAGTAAGTTTCCGTTTCTGGTTTTAAAAAGCCTTGCGCACGGAGTGCAAGCCTCCTAGAGAAGATGCGACAAGGCTTCTGCCCATTATTTGAGGGCGCGTCAGCAGCAGCGGAGGTGGCGGTTCTCGGGCATGCAGTGCTAGCGGTGATGGTGGCGGCGACGATGGTGCTAGACTCTGCTACTTCTGCCTCATGCTGCTTCTGCTGCTATTTCCGCTTCTTTTAGTTCTACAATGACAAATGTGACTATCGATGGCTCGCTTGCTCGCCAGTAAGAAGACATCCCACATTTGTAGCACGTCTGAAGGTCATGGAAGACCATACCTTGAAAAGCCTAAGACAAGAACCTACATCACCCGGAGCTCTTCAGTCACGCTAGGGTTCAGTGACTGCAAACTCAAACGATATGTAGCCAGAGGCTTCATCGCTGGTTACTACCAACCGTGGCCGATCAACTTGACTGAACCTGAACTCAAGCCTGAGCCGAACAAAGCCCTTCAAGTTTCAGTTCTTTAGTCCACGCTCCGCCTCTTCCCTGAGCCCCAGTCTCTAAACCATGAAGTTTTGACACCTATACCTCTATCACCTGCGAGGTGGGGCTACATCCACTCGTCAGAGACTTTGTTTAATACTTGACTGGAAGGGTGGAGCTACAGGAAAGCATTACAGGTTGTGTTGCCCTTCGGCTGTACGGTGTGGGTTTTTTTTGTTGTTTGTATGTGGTTCGCAAGCCATGTTAGGATGCAGGACCAAAAGAGCTACGCAGGCCCAAATCCAAATTAAACGAGCTATAGTCTAAACTCCTAGTATCCCCCCTAATAGCCCCTATACTACACCCCTATACAGTCGCCTATATAAACCATCTTTTTAAGGAGTTTAGACTATGGCTCAAATAGCGTCTTCTTGCTCCCTGAGCCTGATGTTTGCCCTAAGCTGCTTGACCTTGACCTCTCATTATCCCATTAATGGAGAATAGTATGGAAAATAGAATGGAAAATGACATGGACACTTGGGGTATAGAGGTTAGCTTTGGTTAGCTGGGAACGAAGGAATGGAAAAGAATATGGAAACTACATGAAACTATCATTACGGGTTATATGGGGACTACTATAAGGACATTCCTAGCTAACCCAAGGCTGGATTATCAAGGCGAGGTTCAGCCCTGAGCTGCATCAAGGCTCCTGCCTGTCCTCCTTGTCTGGGCTGCTGTTCAGGAACTTAAATACTTAGATTAAGTTACCAGAATGGGTACATATAGCAAACAATAGGGTTTCCGTGATATAGTAACGTAGATTAAGTTCCTAAACAGCAACCCAGTAGTTGTTCTGTTGGTTCTTCGTGAAATGCCCAAGCCCACGCCCAAAACCTGACGAATCCCGTCGCCTGAAGTCCTAACCCAAGTTTGGGGTGCGGGGTTTTTGGGAAATGCGTTGCAATTCTAAAAAAGGGGAAAAGGCAAGGATGCTTTTAAATTAGGCCCACACCTTTTGTTGGGGCGACCGGTCTTCTCCAGGTAGGGTCTCAAACCCTGAAGCCCTCGGCCTCAGGAATCCCAACGGGAACGGACGCCGCCGTGGGAACCAACGCCATGGGCTGGAGTGCCCTGAGGATCCTGAGAGGGGATAAAGTTGATGAAGTCAGGTTCAGGAGGCTACCCAAACTACGGTGCAGAAAGGGCAGGTCCACGGTTTTTTGAGGTTTCCAACGACAATCGTCAGCTGATTGAGAAGGAGATGGTTGTGGTTTGACAGTATGAGGCGTTGGAGGTTACGGGAGGCAGCTTGCTCGGTGTGTTAGAGTCGGGGTATTCTAGATACATGGTAGAAGGTGTTAGGCATTGAGGCTGCTCTAGGTCAAGGCATTGAAGAGATCCGCGAAGTTTACTTGCAAAGATACTTTAAGTCAATGGCGCGCAAGCCGAGGAAGCGTCTTGAAAACCTGGACCCATGACCAAGGCCTTACCCCCAACCGTTTATCCCCGTGCCAGGAGAGGGATTACTATCCCTACTGGCATCCATCCCCCTGGCACGACATTGCCATTCTCACTGATGAGCCCCATACTCGATGAGACCTGGCCTACTTGTCGAGGATAATCGTGTAAATATGGTTGCAGAAGAGGGTTCAGAGGGGAGTGGCTTATTTTGTCCGGAATAATAGTACCATCCCCCAATATTAGATAACAAATTCAGGGGCCTAGAAATCGAAGACTACTTGTAGAAGGGAAAGACTACGTACCTTTCAAGGAGCCACCTAATAATGAATTAGGGGGTTTTGAGGTCCTTAGGGGGTATAATAAGAAGTATGAAGGAATTAGGGCGGGATCCCCTCGCTATCCTAGCTAGGTTTCGATCGTTTTTCATATGCAATTCGTGTAAAAGAAATCATAAAAAGATGCGTGCGATTTTAACGATTTCATTACCGTTGTTGCCCCTTAATTTGATAGTAATTAGTTTTCAGTGGTCTTTAATTTGATCTCAATCGATTGTACTTGGATTGCAGATAGATTTTGACTGGTTTTAATTTTGTTTCAATGCGTCTTAATTTGATTTTAAATCGATGTCAATGTGGGCCTTAATTCGATTTCAATTGTGTTTAGATGGGAGTTGGTTTGGGTTTCAATTGATTTTGAACGGATGTACGTTCGATTTAGAATAGATTTCAATTGGTTTTAATTCGAGTTCAATCGGTTCTTCATTGGATTTGAATTTGATTGCAGTGAGTTTTTATAGTGGGTCTTAATTCGATTGTTCATGTTGATTTTAATTCAATTTCAATCGGTTGTAAGTGGATTTAAATTCGATTTCAATCGGTGCTAATTGGATTTTGACTCGATTCTCATTAGACTTCAATCGCAAGGAATTTGACAGGCCTTTTAGAGGCAGCCCTATCTGATGCTTTCAGTAAATATCCCCCCTGATAATCTTAATAACCTTTAAAATATTTTTTGGACCCGGATTATCTAATATTACGGATGGGGAGGGGGCACGTCGTTTTATATGAGGGGAAGGGATTACCGTTGAAACACGCTTAACCGTAAGAAGGTCCTACAACATGTTTAGCAACTCCCAAATTCGCCGAGCATGATCTTTGGGGAGGATAGATGTCGCAGGCCTCGTGTTCAAGGTTTTGTCAAGTCGCTTAAAAGAAGATAGTTGCGTCAGGGATGTCTTTGGGCACTTGTCCATGGCGGGATGATTCCTTGGTACATAGCAATTTACTCGATGATGCGTTGGTTACTTGCATTCTGGAGAGTGTTTCCGAGAAAACTGCGGAAGGAGTTTACAAGGACATCTCTAGGTTGATCCTGAAGCCCTGACTCTTGCAAGGCGATTATTACCGCGCTGAGTCCCAGAACGTGAAGCCAAAAGGCATCTGCTCAGATCCCCTGTACAACCAGGCAGGAAAGGGAGGAGACGGGCTCGTGTTCAGATTTCAGCATTTAGACCGTTTGGACCTGTAAGTCGAATAGACTCTATGAAAAGCGAAAAATCACGGGCCCAACCGTCGAGGCTTGACGGCCTCGCTTCGTGCCGAAAGCAGCGCATACGTCCTTCAAGTATATGTAAGAAGTTCTGACCCTTCTTATTGGCATTGCGAGTTGATTCATGGAACGTTAGATGGTAGCTATTGCTATATAGCGTCCCCTGGAATTCTCAAATGCCTCAATTTCTTGCCCTGCACACACCTGAAACAGCTGAGGCAATGGTTTCAGTTTGTGGCTAGGATTTGGGCTTCGGGCTTCAGTCCTGCTTGCAGTTCAGAGTTCAGGGGCGGATAGTGTTTCGGAGGTACAGTAGGATTGGTGATTGGATGGGAGACGGCGTAGAGCTTCTGCTGAATTTGCTCCATGCTCGTCCTCAAGATGCTTCTCAACGATCTTTGCAATTGAGGCTAACAGTGAAGTCTCGCGGCATTTGGGCGTTGATGGTGAGATACGAGCCAGCTTACAATTCCGCGAAACTTGGGACTGCGAAGGGGAACAGGCAGGGCGTATGGTACCCTCTAAGAGGCCTCTCAGCGTGCATCTACATAAAAGCCGAGCTGCAGAAGGTTCAATGAATTGTCTTTTCCAGAAAATCAACACTTAGAAGAGCGTAGGCGTTGTTGTGATTTTCCTCTTTGCATTTCTCTGGTTCCTTGCCTCAAGACCGCGTAGGTTCCTGGACATATCTCCAACTGCTAAAAGCCCAAAAGGAGAGTGTAAAGTCAGGTCCCATGGTTGAGGTCGAAATTGGACTGACAGCCTCCCGGTCCAAAGCTCCGAAGGCTTCCGCACGTAGAGATACTGAGTCCTGCAGACAGGAGTCTCAGTACAGCTGTGCTAGCTCAAGAGCGGATTTGGCTTCATGCAAACTCCAGCTTGCGAGCCGGGTTGCAAACCATGCGCCTTCTGCAAAAGGCGCAGTGCTGCATAGTCACTTGGGCACTTAGACCCGGACCCTGAAGGCAGATTCATGCACCGGGAATGGTGGAGACGCTGTCCGGCAATGCTCGATGTTCTCACGGTCTGCTGACATGTTCGGCTTTCAAGAGGAAAGAGGGCTTCATGTTAAAGTAGTATAAACCAACCCTTGCGGTTAGTGACGATTTGTGGCGTCGGGATCTTGGTTGAGAATGTCAGTAAGTGCAGTTTTGATGCAAGCCCTGCATGAGAGGTAAGCGCTAGCCGTTCCCGGAAAGATGTTTGCAAGGAAGCTTCTGTCCAAAGGATTATGTCACAGTCGTCCTGTCAACCAACAGAACCTTCCGGCTTCCTTGCTACAGAGTGGTCATCCCCACAGCCACAGCATGAGACACAAAGCGTCCCTTTCCGATCATGTTCGCGTTTAGCTGAAGGGCAGATTTAGCAGAGTACGCGCAAGATCGCTTGGGCGTAGGAGACAGTTCTTGAATTCAGCCCGGAGCAACCAGTTATGCCTTTGAATACTCTTCGATTTCCAGAGTACACTGCCAGGATGCTTCAGGCCTCTCACGAAGGTTCAAATTTGAAGCAGAAGTTTGTTCTTGTGCAAACCACGGCACAGCGTCTGCAAACGCCGTAAGGAATGGACGGAGGTTCCAGCCTTCAATGAACCCCCGCCAGATTGCGTGGGAAGCGCCTTGAATGACATTTTCAATGCAGTTGATGGGAAGATCCACTGCTGTGTACTGCGCAATACTACACCTGCAAGGCAGACGGTTTCTTCTTATCAGGTTGTGTCTTCCGTGTGGGGCTTCTGTCGGTAAACTGCTGCCGCATTTGTACCGTCAAAAGTCTTGGCTCAAGCTGCACAACATGTCTCTGTTCCGGAAGCCTGTTGGAGGGTTATTCGAGGTTCTGGGCGGCTCATGCAAGGGGCTGTTCTGTGTTCTTGACTCATGCTGGAGGGCTTTCTTTTGGAATTGGTCGTGCGTTCAGGCTAATTTCATTTCTCCAGATGTACCAATCCCACTTGCAGCAGTTGCTTTGCTGTCAGATCACGAGCTGCCACAGTCGCAGTCTAGTCCAGGGTTTGGCATCCTCAATAAAGCATCCACATTCTTGAGTCACGCTGTGGGTGCGATTCTGTTTAGAGTATGTTGCTTTTGAAGGAACCTGGAAATTGCAGAAGGAAGGTATAGGTTTGGCAGAGGTTCCTGTTACGAGCTTCGCTGGATATAGTCTAACACAGTATAGTCAGTCTCCAGTCAGTAGCCTACAAAGGAAAGCCTTTACCTGCTGCAGTTTTGTATTATTTGCTTCCGGACAATGGTGAGCCTGAAAGCTCAGGCATCTCTAGCAGGGACAACCACAACGGAAACGTTCGCAACGGTCATGCGCACTACTACGTCGCTTGGCTTAAATTGCTTGTGTGGGTTCGTAGAGCATACTCTCGGGTTGTTAAGTCCAGGGACCGCGGCGCGCAGTTGCTTAGGACGTCTTTGAAGTCTCAAGGTTTTATTCGAAGCAGGTGGACGGAGGCTGTGAGGTCCACAAGGCTGCAGCACTGACTAATCCCTTCCCTCAGCACGGTATGTTCCAGGACTTGAAGAGTTTAGGTTTACGCGGCTTAAGAGTTGGAGCTAGGCTAATTAAGATGCAACGTTTGGACTGCCCTTGTAACAGAAAACCCGGTGTTTTGACACCCTGGAAGACGTGTCTTGGTCAATAATCAATCATACAGCCATGTGCCAGGGCCTTCTGGGAGCAAACCCCGTCCTATGGTCATGTAGTCGTAGTAGTAGCAGTAGCGGTAGCGGTAGCAGTAGCGGTAGGTAGTAGTATTAGTACGCTCCGGTTACATTCGTGACGGTACATTTTTGTGACATTACAAGCCCCGAAATGCTGTAAATACCAGCACTCGTGGGCTTTAGATGGTGTCAGTTGACATCCGTTTTGTTCTGTGCTTTTCTTGTTTAGCATGTACTCAGCATGCGGAAGCTGAAACGTCTGCATCGTTGATATTGGCCCCAGTCAGACAGGGATGAAACGATCCCTTGCATAAAAAAAATCAGAACTCCCACCATTGGACTCATGGGGCGTGTCTTGGACTAATGAGGCGATGATAAGATTAAATCAGAACTCCTCACACTGTTGGACTAATGGGGCGAACTTTGGACTAGTGACCAGTGGGGCGATGAAAACAATAAATCAGAACTCCTCACACCCTTGGACTGATGGGGCTAACCTTGGACTAATGCGGCGATGAATAATGAGAAAAAGCCTGCGGGAAGCCTACTTCAAAAAACACGTTTTCTCAAGAAACGTTCAAAGTAGGCCCGAACGCACTATAAAACGCAGAAACAATTCAGACCAATAATACTGAGCGAGTGGATCAAGCAGAAACCTGGGGCGTA